TTGAAGCTCATAGAGAGAATGCCAAGAGTGTGCAAAGCAGTAATCAGAGCAAAGGGTGGCTATTTTGAAGAAACTAGAATATAAAACATGTTTTCAGTTATTTCACCTTTTTTTGTTAAGTACATAACTCCACATGTGTTCATTCATAGTTTTGATGCCTTCAGTGAGAATCTACAATGTAAATAGTCATGAAAATAAAGAAAACGCATTGAATGAGAAGGTGTGTCCAAACTTTTGGCCTGTACTGTAAGTCACTGCTAAAGTAAAGGGTTGCAGTGGCACAAGCTAGTTTTAATTAGCTTGTGAAAATGATTCAGTCTTACATTAAACCCAAATGCTAACACTGTCGAGACTGAATGAACAACAACATGATGCACATTAAAATACTGCAATATCACAATTATTTCATAACAGTGTAAAACCAATGACAGAATCTATAGCTGCTATGTATGAGGAGAGAAATGATGCCATTAACAAAACCAACATGCCAATGACAATCTGTATAACTGACAATGATCCATGTTAAAATTGAATACATGTATGCAAGTTAACCCCAGGGATGTAGCAACAAAGACTAAACATATATAGGCACAGTGGAATAGTAGAGCAGGATTTATCAGCTTAACCTCCTCACAATGTCTTCAAAGGACATTCTGACAGGGTTGTAAAAGTATTCTGTCATGTTTCATTGAGAAAACTCAGCTCTTTGCTAAGTTACCTGCACACAGCTCCAACTATCCATTCATGTTGCTCCATGTCACTTCAGCTTTCAGCAGCCTCTAATAGCACATGTCTAAATTCTCTGTAAATCCACTCTGCACCATTTTAGCAGTGTTTGATGGGGTTTTTTGCCATGTAAGTGCACAATGGCAGATACTGAGTGTTGCCTGCTTTTAGCTTGCAGGGAGTAACCATGCTGACATCTGTGTATGATGATGTACAGTACACATACAAATATGTATGGTGAACTATACTCCTCTGGAAGTACATCTAGGTAATCTTTGATCACATTTATACCACTGATTATGTATCTGACCCCTGAACTAACTGGGTATTTCTTAGGCTATAACACATTGATCACTCTGTCAAGGCCGTGGCCTCTGCATGGCCCTTTTTCCTGATAAGTCCTCTAGGTCCTATCTACTTGACCTTTTGTGTTGTAGATTTGAGCTTAAAGGGACAATTCACCCCCAAATCAAAAAGTACATATGTTCCCTCTTACCTGCAGTGCTATTTATCAATCTAGATTGTTTTGGTGTGAGTTGCAAAGTGTTGGAGCTATCGACAGTAAAGATGTCTGCCTTCTCTTGAATATAATGGAACGAGATGGCACTCGGATTATTGTGCTAAAAGAGCCAAAAAAAAAAAAAAATGCACCTAAAAACTCAACAGCAATGTCTCTTTCCAGAAACTATGACCCAGTCATTCGAGATAATCCACAGACCTTGTTGTGTGCAGTTTCATGTAGGAACTATTTTCTTTCTACCAAACTACACCTGCCAACCCTATAACTGCGCAGAAGGAAGTGTGCATCTACTCATGGACGGGAGGCTTGTGACAGCCCGAGATTGTAAACATTAATGGGGTCCTCCTCAACTAAGCTGCAATATTAGCTGGCTCAGTGGTTCTAGGTGAGCTAGCAGTAGATGCTGCTTCCTTTGGTGACCCACACCAAAAGAATCAAGGGCGCGTTCATAAGTCCAATCTGACAGTCTACACTAAAATTAGAGTGCTGTTGATCGAAGATATCGAGAGTTTCATTTCTACATGAATTAACGAATGGTAAAGTGCAATACACATTCACTCGCTTTGGGGTTGCATTTTTGATGTATGAAAGGCGCTATATAAATAAAGATTGATTGATTGATTGATTGATTCACTCCGCTTCATCACACATTCACTCACACTTCCTTCTGTAAATATGTGCCTTTATTTTTAAAGTGACAAACATGAGCACAGACTTGCCAAAAAGCTTTGAAAAGTTTTCTGTTTTTAATTCTAAAGTTCATTTTCATTTAACTAGATAAATCAGTCACATTTAACTGCCTATGTATTGTGCGTTTCAAGGAAGGTACTTATAATATTGTGCAGTCCAAATATGGAATACAAACTTGTACTAACTGACTGATTCTCTGTCTTTGTACAAAATAAGATTCAAAAGTGTTTTGATTTCAAAAAGATTTTGTATTGAATAATCTTTATTTTTGTCTTCAACCTTTTTTTCCATTATCTATAGCAGCCTAATTTACTAAAATATCTTCAGTACACGTGATTATGTCAACATCTATATCCAGATTTTTCTTAGCAGCTAATCAAAATTGACAATGTAATTAAGGATGTAAAAGATATGAAGTTTAATTGAGATTTTATTCTGCATTGTTACTTTTTTTTATTTATATTTTTTCTGTCTCTTTAAAGGTGAGGGTTTTAGATAAGCTCATGGTGAGTTTCTACCTCATCTGCACATGTATTTCATTTTTATTATTTCTCTGTCTGACCTTTTTTTTTTTAAATGAAAACAAATGAAATGAAAACTTAGCGAATGAAAACTTTACTTCACTTTTAAACTTACATAAGAGACTGATGGCAGCAGGAGAATCTCACACAACAGCATAAAATAGGACTTTTGTATTATAATATGTAAATAAAATACTGAATGTTTTCCTCCTTCGTCAGTAGATTGTACCATTTACAACAAATCTATCAGACACCATAAACTACACTGTAAGTTACTAGGCTGGTGGGACTCTGAGTAGGTGAAAGCCTGTCCTCACCATGCCGTACCTGAGCCTGCACTGCCATCTGCTGCTCTCTGGGATGAAACACACAGCAGAGGGGCCGCAGACTGGATGGGTTATAGGTCATGTGTTGCTTTCAAGTGCTCTTCGTAAATAACCAATTTGTGAATGCAAGTTGTTTATTCAAGGCCATTGCTTGGTAACAATTAATAAATCCCGATAAATAACCTTTCTTGGCCATTGTCTATTTTAGAAATGAAACAATACAGAGCTAGTTTGTCTCATAACAAAGGGATGCACTGAAAGACTTGCACATCAGGGGTGTAAACTCAAACTAAACTTAGTGCTCCACTCAGTTATGTTAGAAGGTACTAGAACAAAGTGATAGGGGATGCACACAGCCAGGGGCAAAATACACATTCACAGGGCTCAACGGTAACAGTTGCCAGGTTGTCATTGGCAACCATTTTGAGAAACTGAGAAACGTATAATAAAAAATAAGGACAACAAAAAGCAAAGCACAACCCAAAAAAAAAATATTTTAGATATTTGTTCCATGAGTGATGTTTGAATATTGCTGTTACATCAGAACCAGAACCACACAACACTGCACGTGCCTTAGTGCATTTACTGGCGAACACACAGGCCTCTGTTTGTGAGACAATGATTGAAATTTAAAATTAAGTTGTTGGACTGTGGGATGAAAAGTCTGTCTAACATCAACAAACAAAGGTCCAAATTGGTTCAATTGAGAGAACCAGACGAACCCTAATGAAAAAGAAAGGATATTTGAAAAGTCTTGGGAGACAAAGTATCCCAGCATCTTTGAACTAGACAGAAAATTATATTGCAAACCATGTACAACACATGTAAAGTGTCTGATAAAACACATACTACAAAGAATTTGGTTTGATAATCATAAAAAATATTTGATTTTAAGCTGATTTATAACTGCACAGTATCCTAATTACTTGAAATATAAGTCTACTAAAAATGGCAACCACATTTTCCGTTTCAGCCGCCAAAAGCTGACGCCTGGTTGCCAGCCTGGCGGTCGCCAAATATTAGTGTTGATGGCTCATCTTTGACATCTTCAGCAAGCTCAATTTTAGCATTTAAAATTACAAAGCAGAAAACAACATATTGCTTTCTTCAGAAACGAAAGTGTGTCACTCCTCACTTCTTCAGCACCTCTTTATGGCGCACCACAACATGACACTATGACAATTCCAATCAGAAATGTCAGCTGGTAGAAATAACAACGCAAACCCAGAGCATTTACCAGATCGATATCATGCGACTGACACGCCTGTGCTTGTGTTTTTTTTTCTTCCTCTCTGACAAATCAAAGTGATGCACTTTCCATCCAAAGCCATCACTCTGCCACTTTTATCAAACCTGAATAACAACTAGCCGACTGAGAGCTGTCATGAAGTTGCACACTGGAATCCTGCATTGCCTCACATGTCAATCAGCAGAGCACTGATCTGCCTGACAAACACTTCTCCTTTAACCACCCACACAGTCACACAGTGAGCCGACTTACCTTAAACCAGGTGTTTTTTCCTCACCAGTCTCTGGGCAAAAGCATCCACAACTCATTTCCCAGACTTGGCTGGTTGCAGCAGTGATTCTGGATTATGGCAAAACAAACAAACAAAAAAGTCAATACATTTTGAGAGATAAAAACAAAAAACTTCTTGATCTTGTGGCGCCCCCTAGGGGTAAAATGCCAGGATTTATTCAGGTCTGTGAATGTTAGGATGTGCAAATGATCTGTACACATCACAGATTTAAATAGATTGGTCCATCATATTATCAAACTAATTCTGTGGAGATTTAATACATTTTAAGACTGCAGTTTTATTTGTGTTTGGGCCAAAATAAATAATGATGAAAGACCTTGGCTGAAATGGGGTTGGCATTCGCAGAGAGATGTGTCTTGACCCAATCTGGGGAAAAGGGAATTTTGTTACCAGAGTATGGCTCCTGTCTATTGAACAAACATGAAAGAAATTATTATGAATACTGTGTGTGTTGTAGTTTCTGAAATCCAGATACTTTTAGAGCATTATAATAATGATTTTAATTATAATTCCTAATATGCATGCTCTAGGCCAGTAGATTCCCTCTTGGGGGATTTGTAATCAGTATTTCCCACAGCACTTGAAGGCAGCTGGTCTAATCTGGTCTAATCTGGGCAGGACCATCACCAGATGAGAGATGACATCTGTGGATAGTAGCTTTACTGTTCATGTGAAATAAACGCATGGCTGTCATTTTGTGAGACAAAATGTCTATAACAACTTGCCAGAAGGTTACTCTTATATCATGCTCTGTTCTCTGTGTTTCTCTCTTCCTGCCCAGAATGCTTTTACCCAAAGGGAAAAAGGAGATGGGTCGGCCTGAGGGTAAGGCAGCTTATCAGATCATCATTCATCCATCCATCCATCTCCATCCCGCTCCATCTCCGATGTCTTTTTTTCTGTTGCTGCTGCTGCTGTTGTTGCTGCCAGCTGTTACTTTGACTGTACAGAGTGCGCCAGGCCCAAGGCCCCATCAAAGTGCACATGTTCGGCGTAATGTTACACAATGGAAGGGAAGAAAATAGAAAAACATGCATTTCACATCAGTGAGGAATATGTTTGAAATATGTTGTGTTTTTTTTAATTTACTGTATTAATACATACATATTTGAACATCCTCAAAAATATTTATGCCTATTAATTGATATGGTTTAATACATGTACACTAAATTTTAAGGAGCCTATATAACACACAGTACTGATAAACTGGAAATATTGTAGGGTTGTATTTTATTAGGTGTGTTACTAAGTATTTTTTTATGTTTTTACACCTCATGTCCACCATAGAAGTACTGACTGATTAAGCTGCTAGGTTTGTTTATGAGTCTGACCTAAATATGAAAGTGGACACTTAACATGGTACATCAGATTGTAGAGCCTCCGACCATATATCTGTCAGTACCTTACGCTTTTTTTTTTTTTTTTTTAAACAAATCCCTATTCCTTATGGAGGTTTTATTCCTTTTTTCCAGAAAAAAAGATATTACAGTTTAATTTTAGAAGTTTTAATACATATTTTATCAAGCTAGAACTAACTAAAATTTCCTCCAACTTCACTGAGTGAAAGCTGGTTCAGTTAAAAGCAACATGCTGGCTGTCGCACACAAATCAAGCTGTTCTTTAGACACATTTTTTATGTAAATATAATAGAATACAAATTATGATCAATTACCAACGATACAAAGTAAAAATCATCATTAACCTCTGACTACAAACTGATGCTCATCAGATATAATGACTAACCACACCTGTTATACTGATCAATAGCGAAAACATAACAATATATTTTAAAAAATAGACATACTAAAAATGTCACACATATACAATAACATGTTTCCAGGAAATGTTACTCCCTCACAGATAATGTTACTGTCACAGGGGTTTTCATTCCTTACTGTGTTGTACTGTAAAACTTCCTGGCAATCCAAAATACAGTGATAAATCTACAAGAAACCAAGTATGAAAAATGATGGCTTTTCTTTTGTTTTTGTTTTTTGTTTTATTTTAGCAAGTCAATAGTTGCCTATAGATGCCTTCAGTCAGTTTGAATCCATTACTGCTAGTAGAGGCAGGATGCTCACATTCTCACAATTCCTTTGGCCACCAACAGGTGGCACTTTTTCCCACTAATAATACACATATTTATGAGCAGTTGTTTGAAGTTTATCTCTGTTATTTATCAAAAACACATTGTTGCCAAATATTAACCTGAATCCTGCCAGTGAATTTAATCGGACCAAATGAGTGATGATTTAATTCTGGGACAACTTACAGTGCTGGAAACCAAAACAATTCCATTCATCAAGGGTGTAAATAGTATAGTGACTTTCCTTGTCCTCATACGGCCCTTTCCTTGTAAATTATACATGTAGCACTTGTTCAGCAGTTCAGCTTGCAAACACAGATCCTATTTACAGCAGCAACAGTGAGTCTGGCTTCCAGGTGGCGCTGCTTTGCACAGGACCATTAATGACTCATCCCACCACTGTTGACCCACTTTCTGTCACTTAGGCCTCCTCCATGGCTGTTGACAATTTCCCTAGGTTCCGGAAACTTGGGAGCATTGCTGCCAGTCAACAAGTCAACACTGGCTTTTACGAAAGGAAGTTTGATGGCAGACAGGTATGGCCACTGTGCCAGGTATTCCTGTGTAGTGATATTGTATTGTTACAGGCTTATTTCTCTCAGTGAGCACATCAAGTAGTTGGTAATAGCACTCAATGATAGGACAAGACACTTAAAGGCTGGCAAGAGTGTATGCTGAAACAACCTTCTCCTGTCCCATGGCAGTGTTGTAGTCAGGACCACCTAACCCAAGACCAAGTCATGACCAAGACCAGACTGTATTGAGGTTAAGACAAGACCAGTACTTTGAGGGGTTGAGACCAGGTCAAGTGCAGACCACTGCCAGCCCCTTACTGTATGACACACTTATGATAAAATATAGACCACAGACATGTAAACCATAGGTAGTCCCCAAATTGATTTGAAATATCCACATTCCTGTAAAAAAAAAAAACAAAACCAACAACACAGAAAACAAATGAAGACTCTCAAATTGTATGTGTGTATACACAGGTATACAACGAGAAATGTCTTGATGAAATTATCAAGAGGCACTGCAGAGGCGAATTTTATGTATGAGAATTTTGCTTTGTTTTCTATGAGCAAAAGAATACAATCAAGCAATAAGGAGCTGAAATCAACTTCACTACCTTTATTCAATGATCCTTTTACTCACAGACAATTCAGTCATATTCCCACATTGTGGTTTTGACATAAAATCCCATATCCTCTTTGTCCAACACTGAGACTAGATTGAGTAAAATGTAGTTCAGACCAAGACAAGAGATCTTTAGACAGGACCAAGACAAATCTCGACGCACTCCCCCATAGTGCTTAGTAGAGAGTTTGTATGTCTACCTCCAATAGTCACCTCTTACATGAGACTTTCTGAACAAAATGTGGCAGAACTGCTGGGGTCCAAATAAGTATAGGTATGTTTCACTTTGTGTCCTTTGCTGGACTTAACCTTGACAGGCAGTATTCACAGGACACAATTATCCTTTCCAGCCCCAGTATATCTACAGGTTTCTTGAGAAACACATGCACCACCAACTGGTGGTTCCTTGGACTGTTTCAACTCTGTACTAGCTCTTTCCATCTTAATGTAAAGCATAGTGGGATGATTTTGACTGAGAGCGGGCTGTCCACTAATTAGAAATCTGCGGTTTGATCCCCGGCTTCTCAAATCTCTGCGTGTTGAAGTATCCTTGGGCAAAATACTGAAGCCAAAATTGCTCCGAGTGGCTGTACCATCAGTGTGCAAGTGTGTGTAAATGTTAAACTGAGTAGCAGGTGGCACCTTGTATGGTAGCCTCGGCCATGAGCATATGAATGTGTGTGTGAATGGGTGAATGTGACAAGCAGTGCTTGCAGAGAGGTGCTATTCAAGTGTAAGTCCATTTACCATCTTTAGCTCTCAATTCCTCCACATAGTCAGCAAGCTCTGCTGTGGTGGTAAAGCCGTTTCCTCTTACATCTTTTCTATGCAGAGACTTATTTACACTCTTCAAACCAGTTTTCAAAAATGATGAGTCCTGAATATTACCCAAGACAGAATCAAATACTATCTAGAGTTCAGTGAAAGTGACAAGAACAGTGAACCATGCCCTGCGCTTGTATTTCTCCAACTCCTCATGTGCAGTGATCAAAACAGCAGTTTTGACATGACCGATCTCATGGTGGTTGGTGTATCCAACTCTTTCATATATTCAAGTTCTTCCATCATATTAAAACAATCATGCAAGAACAAAGAGCAGGCCTGCAATGCTTTCAAGTCCTCACATTTGACAGCGGGCCAAGCCAAAGCTCTCTCAGTGAATGCAGCAGCAACTTAAAATTCATTTTCAAAATGTTAGGGAGCTCTTTTGCCTCAGCATAGTCACGTTCAGGAACCATATGCTAACAGATGCGAACAAGTTTCCCTGGCTGCCCTTTGGTGAGCTGTTCCAAAAAATACAAGCGATCAGCTTTGCTTGTGGCCTCGTCTTCCTCACTATGCTCAAATACAGGCTCTGTATTGAAGAGAATTCCCATCAAATACTAAAATGACTTTAGCTGGCAAAGACAGTGTACGTTGCTGTTGAACAAGAGCTGCTGTAATCTCATTCTGTCTTTGCATTATGTTGTAAAAGCTACCAGATGCTTCCTCTTTGATTTGCAGTTCCATAGATTTTGTGACATCCAGTGATGGTTGCATGTAAGGAACAGAGAGAGTGTGTTTTGTTGACTCACGCACATTAGGCTCATGTTGGTAACCTGGCCTCATGTGAGCATCTTGGGTTGGTTTCATAGTGAGCTGGTCCTTGGAACGTGCACCCAGTAAGAAAAGCTCATACTGGCATTGATGCTGGCTCCCTTCTGCGCCTTAATGAGTTTCCTGAAAGAGGTTCATACTCCCTTGCCATGGGACTGAGAACTTTGGAAGTTGAAAGCTGTTGAATTTTCCTCTCCAGGCTGGAACACATGCCATCTGATGGGGCTTTGGACACATTTTTGCTGACTGAGGCTTGGAGCGGTGCTGTTTTGGCAGCTGTTGCAGCTGTTTCAACTTCTAGTTAAAGTGGCGTCCTTCGTCCCCTCAGCTGTTGTTCCTGTTCCTTCAGCACATGTTGATTCTTCAGAGCTGCTGCAGCGGCAACAAGTGCAGCTCTCTCGGCTTCTGCTTTAATGTGTGCAGATGTGTGGAACTGCTGCTTTTCCTGCTGCCACACCTTTGTCTGCTAGCATTCTTGCAGATTGATACAGTCATCCAGGAGAGTATTATAAATGACCTCTTTTTCATTTCTGTCAATTTTTTATTGTTACTTTTATCACCACTTTTCATTAGTGTGTGTCAACCATTTTTGCACATCACAATTAAAGTCATTATTTCCCAGTGTTGGCAGACAGAATTGGGCTAGCTGATTTGGCTCAATTCTGGGGCGACAGTCAGGCAGCGGGATGTGGCCCGGCTAATTTCATCCAGCATGCCGAGTTCAGGCAGATTTTGGGCCAGCTTATTTTGGCTAACTTCTAGTGTATCACCATGCAACAAATCCATCAGTAATTTATGCAATGATTTAGTTTCATTTTACAAAGCAACAAATTTAGCAAAAGTGCATTTTACCTCAGGTTCACAGTCTTTTTTTTTTTTTGGTCATAAACTCTTCCACAAATTTTCTTAGATTACTCGCTTTGTTTACCTTAGCCTATACCTGAGCCTGTAGTCTTTCCAAGTTTTTCTACAAAGTGTCTTCCCAGTAAGTTAAACAGCCCACTTTTGCCAATCTGGATTGTTTACCATAGTCCTCTGAGTCATTACAGATAGATGCCATTCAAATCATTAGCTGAACATAGCTCAATAAATGTCACCATTCTTCACATTTGCCACTACAAAGAGCCAGCTTGTACACAGGAACACAACAAAGTTTTGTTTACTTGTAGCTACCAACACATAACATAAATTTGCGCCTCATAAATGTGTGCACACAAAGTCAAATGGCCATTATTATTTAGTATCACACACACCTTTTACTCACACCTGGAGGAAGACCCTCTGCGTCCTCTCTGGTCCTGCTGAATCCAAAGCAATTTGTGGTACTGGTTCCGGTCCTGACTGTCGGTGCCTCTGCACTGGATAATCCACAGTCGGCGTCCTAACTCTTCCACAGCAGCTCCAAACGCGCACAGTTGCGCCCTTCACCAATTACGCACAAAAAAGTGTGACTTTAGCTTTAAAGTTTATGAAAGCAGGTGTTTTTGACTAAATATAGTGGCTTTCCATAAAGTCACTGCCGCTGCAACGTTGGTGAACTCAACTGACTGCATGCGTAACACAACCACTTTGCCAGTTTAGTAGCCTAACCACATTTAAATTGCTGCAACGCTACCTGCAGACGTCACTGTCACGGTAGTAAAAGAAAAAAAAATACCCTTGGCATACAACGCACCTGGTTGCAATTACCCTTCCTGTATCAACACAGTCTCATTATAGGTTACTGCCACCCAGTGTACAGAAGGTGTATTACACCAAAGGTAAACAAAGACAAATGAATAAATACTGGTGCTACTTGAATGTTTGATCTCTTCCCTACATCATGTAGCGTATTCCCCCCTCATTTCAGATATTACTGTTGAATATTTACAGAAAATATTTGCTCTAATTATTAATTGATTGATTGATTGATTTTTGTCTCCTCCAGTGGGACCCGGGTTCTACCCTCCTCTGATACATCAGCTGTCAGTGCCAGAGGACCCAGAGCAGTGGAATGTGGACCCTTCGTACTCCATGACACACAGTGTTGAAGCTATGGCCAAAGTAAAAGGCATCGGACGAGGCAAAAAATACAACCTGATGGCCCAAGTGATACCCATATACGGCTTTGGAATACTTCTTTACATCTTCTACATAATCTATAAGGTAATTACTATGACTGATGTGCTTGGTGGGCAGGTTGTATGAATATATAATATACTGTGCTATACTGTTTATCATAAAGATACAGTGTAATGAGAAATACGATGGTTATATCAGTGACAGCAGTGGCTGTGCATTTATTTCCCACTTAGATCCTTTAATGTACAGTAGATTTAAAAAATAATAATAATAATAATTATTGTTATGCTCTAATCATTTTTATGCTCACAGCTGACATGTAGGGGAAAGGCAAATAAATCAGGACCCTACACGACAGTAACCAAGGCAAAGATGGAGAATAAGATTCGTAAGTACCTTCAGTGAATGATGAATGCTTGATTGTATCAGTGTGACTCACACAAAAACTGTGTATCTTCTAGGGTGTAATATAAACTGTTTGACCTTTTCTTACCAAATTAGTGCTTAAAGTTCTTTGGTGAAAGAATAATCGAAGCCCAAAGTACAGAAGCAAAATACTTTTGTTTTTATAAGGGAATTTGGTGCGTAAGTGACACCTTTCTCGACAGTGTGTAGCAGTACAAATAACCACACACCTTCAACATGTGTGTGTCAGTATACATATAAAATAAATGCTATGTATGTAAGTTGCCCATTATATTTTGATTTTAAACAATGTTTCTCTTGTACACCTTGTAGCACCCGATTATGAGCTTATCAGGCTTCAGGAGAGGCTTCTGCGAACAGAGGAGATGATGGAGAGGATTGTCTCTGGGAAGAGTCGTGGTTCTGGGAGGTTAGATTTATTTTTTCTCTTAAAATGTACTTTTCACTGCCCGTAGCACAGAACAACTAGAAAAATTATTTCATACTGGGATAAATCAGCACAGACCTGGCATAGAAATAAATGGGTGAAAAATTAAAGAGAAAATTATTCAAAGGTGGAAAGGCCACTGGCATTTTTTACTGAACGGCTCCTGCTCCTGCTTTATTTAAAAGGCCTTTGGTCATGAATAAAAAAAATAGGAATAGGAAAAATTATCTAGTTGCGAGTTTGTTGGAAAGTACTCGTCACATTCTTTGTGAGTGATTCGAATTGGTCATAACTCATTGAAAACCCTTTAATCTGAGCCTTACCTCACTCAGTATGGGCTTTGAGATATCAGGAAGAATCAGGAAATCAAGACCAAACAGGAAGTATGCAGTGAAGCAAGATATAGCAATTGAATGTAATAAGAATTTAACTGAGAGGGAACCATTTACCCAACAGGCATAAAGTGATGTATCATTGCATTTCCATCTTACATGACTCTGCTTCCTGATCTGTGCTGCTCTCTAGTGGAGGAGGACGGAGGAGGAAGAGTAAATCTTCAACATCAAAGAAGGAGGAGAAATTACTGAGGCAACTTAGACAGATCACGATGCTGATGCAAGAGGGCCGGCTAGAGGCAGCTTCCCCAGAGATAGAGGCTGAGGAGGTCCCCTACTGTGAAGACTGGGAAGGTACACATCTACATCTGAAGCTCACATCATTTTACAAAATCCACATTTGTTGCGCTTGTAGTAGCAGGTTTTGTTTCCAGGGTAATCAAATATATTTGTATTATAAGAATTTGTTTTCTGCAGGCTACCCAGAGGAGACCTACCCAGAGTATGATGAGCCCTGTAGAAGACGTGGTTTTAATATCTTTACTCTGGAGGAACCCCCCCATCAGCCCACCGCCGAGGCCCTGGCAGAGAGGATGTTGCAAGAGGAGGAAGAGCTTACAGCAAGGAAACTATCCATAGTGGAAGAGGTGGATGAAGAGGCAGAAGAAGAGGGGGAGAAAGAAGAGGAAGAAGTAGAGGAAGCAGAGGAAGAGATGGAGGAGGAGGAGGAGGAGGACGAGGAGGATGACGAGGAGGAGGATGAGGAGGAGGAAGAAGCTGAAGCAGAGAAAAGGTTGCTGCTCAGTCTTCCTTCATCCCAGCCTGCTGCGGAGAGAAAGCAGGAGAGACTTGGTCTGGAGGTGAGCAAAGAGCTGCAGTGTCTCAGCGGAGGGAGGAAGCAGATCAGCTTCAGTGAGCACAAAGATGTGTTCCACTACCCTAAAGAGGGTACATATGAAGAGGAGGAGGAAGAGAAGGAAGATGAAGTGGAGGAAGAGGATGAGGGGACAGAGGTGGAGGAGGATGAGGGGACAGAAGTGGAAGAGGAGGAGGAAGCTGATGAGGATGATCCAGTGATGGAAGCAGAGAGCCTGCTGTTCAGTAGTGAGGGTTGTCCCAACCCAGAGGAGGAAGCTGAGAAGGATGAAGAAGAGTATATGTTAGAGCCTGTTGAGGGTGGTGATGCTATCCAGGCAGACATGCCTAAAGAGGTCGGTACCAGTGGGCTGAGGATGCGGAACAGGAGGGAGACATAAAGGACTTTTCCTTTATTAAAAATGATTTTTTAAACATGCAGTGAACTCAGTGTTACTCAGATTGTACTTTGTTTATTGATGATCCCTTATATGTGTAAAATATAGAACACAAGCTAAATAGATACATGTAATGCTGCTCTGAAGTCATACTTTTATATGACAAAAGTCTCCTTTCGCACCATTAAAGGAATACTTCACCCACAATTTGTGTATCAGTTATTCACTGCTTGTCGCCTTGACGTCATGAAGAAAACTTTTCTTTTCTTTTCTAGCGTGCCCCTATGGTGAACGGAGAATCCAAAAAAGGCAAACATTCTTCATGAATCAAAGAAAACTGTTCAACAACAGCAAAACTACATCAAAACATCCATTTACATACTCCCACTCAACTCCTGCAGTATAATCCAAGTCTCATTTGTTCAGTTGAATGCTTAGTACTTCCCAAACCCAACACACTTTTGCTAAAACATCACTGTTTAAAACACTTCAGTGCGAAGTGTAAAAAACTGCAGTTCTTTGAATGGCCACTTGAGGCTGGATCCAGAAGCAAGCCAATCCCCACAGACCCTAGCCTTGCGTCACCACGCTCTTCACGTACGGCGAAGAGCCTGGTTTCCATTCACTCTGAATTTTGTCTGGATTCTGGTTCAGGTCTAGAGAGTGGATTCGGAATTCACCAAATTCACCAAAGTAAAAGTGTTCACCAAAGTAAAACTTTAAATTCTGGCGCACCATCGATTTACAATAAAAGAGAAAGGTTAACTTAATGGCTTGGGGCTTTTCTTGTAAATTATAAACTTTAAATTAAAAAGTTTCACCGCATTTTTATTAGCTTGGTGCTTTTATTTTGACGGAAAGGCACATCCATCGATTTCCGGATCCTGTCTCTCTCGCCCTGGTTCTGGTTCCTTACCAAAACGGCCACTAAACGGCCCCAGACTACACAGACCCCCATGTTAAAATGTCCAACTTTAACTTTTAACATTCATGCCAACTGTACAGGGGGTGAATTTTTGTATGGCTCACTCATTTACATTTATACAAAGGCCTAAAGTTACACATAATTAAGGGTAGGATGCTTTGAGTGACAGCCTGTGCGCATAGTGTCCTCAGCTTCTTAGTCAGCCACCCCTCGCTCCTCAACAGCACCAGCCTCTGTCCCAAATATGGTCACTTCTGGCTCCAAGAGGCCTCTGAGCAAAAGTCCACAAACCAGTGGGTGATGTCATGGTGGCTATGTCCATTTTTTTTACAGCCTACTGTCAGTACAAACAGTCTCATGCATGGAAAACTAGCGTGCCTGGGCAAGCGGGTCTGTTTGAACCCTGATCAAGCAGAGCTCAGACTCACATGCATGCTCAGGCACACCTTCATGGGTGGAAGTGTTTTATTTTTTTTAACAATTAGCACAAATGCCTGTGTTTGGGAAGTGCTGAGCATACGACTGAATTATTCTTCAGGAGTTGTGTGAGTTTTTGTATACAGATGTTTTGATACGGTTTTGCAGTTGTTAAATGTGGACCCCAGTGACTTCAATTCATGAAGAATGCTCGCCTTTTGGATCCTCTGCTCACCATGAAGGCATGCTAGAAAAACAAAGTTTTCTTTACAAATTCAAGACGACACATGATGAGTAACTGATACACGAATAATCATTTTGTAGGTGAAGTGTTCCTTTAATATGGTCAGAGCTTCTGATGGTTGATATGTACAATTTCATGAACAGGCTGTTTTGAAAGATCCAGCACACCCATAGTCCAGCCACACAGGTGTTTTAACTTAACTGCCTGATTAGACTCTGTTAGACAAGTGTAAAGAAAATGTGCTCGAATGACGCGTCCCTCTGTGTCTCGGTGCATCTGTTGAGGTGGTTATCGGTTATTTCCTGACATAGCCCAGCTTCTGTCAGTCACGTCCATTTAAAACACCTGTGTGGGTGTGCAGAATCTATAAAAGAACTGAATTCTTATTATAAAGTTTATTATTAAGTTAGTGACTGCTCATTTACTCAAGAAAGGCTCTACAGTTTTGACATGAAGTAATAATGTTATGGACCCAGAGAATGTTTGCTTTATTTATCATCACCCCAGATTACTTTTACATGCCACTCTTATTATGTTTGAATCAGAAAATGTATCCCATTAGCAGTAGTTTGACACTGTCATGTAATATCTAGCTCCACCCGGTGGTCCATTGTGGTTCGACACTTTGTGAAGCTCCCTGTTGCGCTAATGCAGCATTACAGCCTTATACAGCAAGACGATAAATAACATCCAGGGAGCACTGCATATAACCCCCGAGCAAGAGCCATCACAGTGCACACAAACAGAGCAGAAGCAAAGCAGGTGGAGCAGGCTGTGGTGGAGAAGGCTTTTGCAAATAGGTAGCAGTGGTAAACAGCAGCAAAGCATGTGTGAATATACACAGTAAATGTGGGCATGAGGATTAATAGATACAAATGAGTGCAGTAAGATGGGCAGGATGTGGTAAGGAAGCTCTCCACTAACATAGCAGCACAACTTTGACTTCAAGTGTTCTGCCAACGTTAAGGCATTAGCTGCTTTTCACATTGATGCCTCTGGTGATTGATGGTATTAAGCTGTACTTTATTTCACCCTGTAGGGAAATCCATCCTTTGCACTCGATCCAACTGTTAAAGAGCAGCAAACTGCTGCGGCACAAGAGCCAGGGAGTAAGTCCAGTAGTGAGGCAGCTGTGAGCCACGGCAAGAGGCAGTGAAGTCTTTGAGTATTACAGAAAAATGTATATGTTACACCTGTCACGAGTCAGACAAAAGTAATGTCACTGTGACAGAACACAGTATGAGTCTTTAAATAGAATTTGGAGATGATGATAAATGGTTGCTACAATCAATATAGAGCAAAAAAAAGTCAGACATATTCATTAAGGTCAGGGTTAGGGCAGTTGAGTTTATCAGCAGTGTTAGCACACATCACTCTTGCAGCCAGTGTTCTCACAGCAAACATCAAACATGTCTGTCTGACCAATAGACCTTTCTCACTGTGGACATTTTGACTGTCACGCACAGCTGTGACTTCTAACAGTAGTAATGGCTGCAATTCATTGAGGTGTTCCAGTCCCAGAGCCCCAGCATTGTGCATGTTGACTCGCTGACACCTGAACAGGCAAAACCATAATTAATATTATTATTTACACCTGCACTTCTTCTGGTATGACAAGTCAAATAGTCAGCTATGTGAAAGGTTTAATTTTATTATTTTTCAATCATTAAGAGAAATGTTGTTTTATTTTGAATGAAATATCCTATTGTATATAGCACCTTTTAGTTGAAATGTTTAGGTTTGCAACTGTTTGATAATCTTTGACATCTCTTTTTCTGAGACATATTTGACATCTGAACATGAGCAGTCTTTTATCAATGTTTGTTAGCATGTGTAAGCTGCAAAACACAATAAAATGTCAAAGACTAGCATGTTTTATGGTTGTTACTCAGAAAGAAAATTGGGAAAATAAACATACCAAGTTGTAGATTATCAAGTTTAGATATAACTCACATTTCACACTTGGTCCTTTTCAGCCTTTTAAACGGACTCACTATATGTGAAAACACCCTGAAGCTGAATCTTACGGTGTTTTCATGTAGTCCTTTTTAAATGAACCAAACTCAGTCCTCTTAAAGTGCACCAAAAAGTGGACTAACAGAAAACGGACTCAGTTCAAGCGTTATAGGTCGACATGGTTACATCTGTTTTTTCAGGCGCTCCAGTGTGATCTAGGGGCCTAAATACAGTGGTAAAGAGCCAAGCGAACCTGAAGCGCTTTGTGTTCAAAAGGCATGGGTTAAGCAAACTTTAACCAGTCACAACAGGATTTGGCATCCATTTGTATCGTCCCAGTCATTTTTATAATGTTGGGACTGTGTTTTTGTCGAGAGCTAGCGTAGTACTTTTTGTGGTTTGGGGTCTCGTTGGTAATTTGGTATGTGCTCAGTTTGTGTCTATAGTTGAATTGCAAATTTTTGTAGTTATTTTGTGTCTCTTTGCAGTTCCTTTGCACGTCTCTTTGTAGTAATTTAGAGTCTCTTCCTGGTCGGTACTTGTTAATTTGAGTGACATGTTACAGGTAAAGGCCAGGTAGGTTGAATCAGTAATCCATCCACATGTAGCTGAGAACAAGATGACTGATTTGCTGGGACTGGACATTATTAGTAACAAGAGATGGTATGTTCACTATTACCTTGTTTTAAAATAAGAGCAAAGGGAGAAAAAGATGAATCAAATTCAAAAACATGTCATTAAAAAGGGTTAGCAACGCATTTTTTGACTCACTGAAGTTTTATTTTTTTCCATGAACAAAGGACTGTGTTTATACCACCACAGTAAATTGTACACCATTTACTGTACATTACAACGAGAGCACTAAAAACAGAAAGTGAAAGAACCTCTGGTTCCTGGACACATGTATGAAAAGCAGACTTTACAGCAAGAGTATCAACAATTTTAAAATAGAAATTTAAAATAGTTAGAACACAATTGAGTACAAGAATAGCACATTTGATAAAGATTTCCTCATAACCCACAGTAACAATAGCGGTATCAGAGATTGTTCTTTGCCTTCATTCAGCATTTTTTTTTAATGGTCATAGAATACAAAATACTATCAGATATTTGAGAAAGAACACTGCCCCAGAAGAAGCAAGAGCAATAATATTTTGAGTAAAAATGTGAACAGCAATAAACCACGTGATATAGAAACTTACTGCCGGTCAGATGAGGAATGTACCGAACTCCATCTCAGTGGAGCAGAAAAGTAATCAAAGATGTAAAGAGCGAGAAATGAAATATGCAAGTGTTTAAGCTGTGGCAGATTTACTCTGTTACTGTGTGTTTGATGGCAGTACATCAATCTGTGTTCAGTTTCGTTTTTCCAGGTAGGAGACGTCAGATGATATGAGCACAACCTTAAGCCTGAGTGCCTTTGATGTTTTATCTGCTGCCTGATTAACAGTACAATGTATATAATTATTCGCCACTTCAGTGTAATGTATTCTTGGCCCTGAATGTAAATCAAAAATATCTGGACAATCACTAAAATGTTGTCCAGCGATATAGAGGTTTTTGGCAGTGGCGCCCCCAGAAACGTTTCATAAGGGTGGCCAAATGGGGCCACTGAACATCCTGGGGCGGCACACAAAAAAAAATGCCATAACTGAATTTCAGGAATTTGATCATGCTGTTACATATAGGCTAGTTGAAAACTTTTTCAATATGGAGAGTCACATATGGAGAATCACATTCTGATATACTTTGGTTTCTTATTTTAAAACTAATATCACAAATTATCTGATGTGCATAGACTTATACCAGTACAGATAACATTTTGGGGTCCACAACAATGCTGTTTTAATATGTTACGTATTTGTACATGTTAGGAGATTCATTGTTCTTTCAATAGGGTGTTTGTCATTTTCCATTAAAAGATAGCTTTAATATGAAGGAGCACATTGATTGTAAGGAACAAAACATTTACTGGGAACAAGCCTTCTCAAGTTTAGGGGAGACCCGTGGGTATAGAGTCCATTTTCATTCAGATATCTCTAGGTAAGAGTTCAAGGGACCCCTTTGGAAATGGCCATGCCAACTGTCCCCTCACCAAAATTTAACCTAACTTTGGAGCATTATTTGGCCGCTCTCCCTACAAGCCATGCTGACATGGTTGGTACCAATGGATGTGTTAGGTTTTCTAGTTTTTACAAGTTAACCCTACCTCCATGCTAGCTAAAAAATAAACTAGTGAGAGCTATTAGAGTTAGTAATGTCAGCCTCCAGTTTTTTTGCCAGAGGGGGCCAGTAATTGAATGAAGGCCCCCTCCCGGGGGGCGCCACTGGTTTCTGGAGGTTTTTGCGACTCCAGCTATCTAATCAGTCGAAATGAGCTCTGCATTAGACAACTGAATTCAAAGTAGCTACAGAGAATTAGCCCCAATGTATGCGAGGACAGCAAGACCAGCAAAGACCAATTCAAGCTCAGCTCCTTCTATGGCCAAAGCATAACACTGGAATTAGTCTCCAAAGGCACAATAAAGTATGTACAGCTATATCTCATCCACGACAGACTTCAAAGTAAAGTGCACCATCATCCTATACATTCGCATACATGACACTGTGACACAATATTGTATATGGGACACACCACAGTGTTACATGCCTTTGCCCTGTTCACGCCCTCGTCGCTAATTGTTTAGTGTGGAAACAAGACGTGCTCCTTCTTGTGATGCTAATTTATGTGCTTGCAGCTCCACGGAGCCAAGACTGCTGTTTTTTTTTTTTGCTAATGATAACAGAAAACAAAACATGTAATAAATACATAAATAACAAAATAAATATAGTCTGACGTGCATGGTGGTTTTAATTCAGTAAGTATATAAGCAGTATTCATGCTTAAGGGAGAGTGTGACAGCTTTGTGTGGCAGACCACATGAAATCCAGTCTGCTTTTAAAACTTACAGATGTGTAAATGTTAGTTATAATTTACAGGTAAAGAAATGTTAAATTTCTCTAACTACTACATAAAGGAACAGTTTGTTTGTTTTCATAATGCCTTTACAGTACAAAATGAGTATAGTTATCAAAACAAATGAACTGGATTTTGAAAGTGGATTTGCTCTTTGTGCTTGTTTTCTTCCACTGACCTAGACCATCCCGAGGTCCCACCCCCACCCACCCCACCACACACACACAAACACACAAGACTTGAGGCCCCATAAAGCATTCTGGGATATGCAAGACTTCCAAGGTACTGGGTGATTTGGAGATCTCAAACCAGCCCCCAAGGATACAGTAACAGCCCTTGTTGAGAGGACAGATGGACCAGTTCTCCACTGAACTTCAGGCTGGGATCTATTCACAGGCTAACTTGCTGTCAAAGCTGGAGAGGGCAATGGCAAAGGCTTGCAGGGCACACATTGGGTAGTTATAGTCCATGGTGAAGACGTCCTCTGCCACACGGCCAAACTGCATCACAATGTAGTCAGCTGAAGAGGAGAAGAACCAGGAAACACATTTTGAAGAAGTTGCTACAAAACAATATTCTCGCCTCACCTACATTTGTATTCTTAATTATGTAGACCCAAAGCATTCAATAACAAGTTATTATGGAACAAATAATTGTATGAATAAATAACATAGTTTCAGATGTCTAATGTGTTATGCAGCTCCAATAATGTTTGTTCATTCATTCATTTTCCCTAACTGTTTATCCTGTTGGGGGTCGTGCGGGGGGGGCTGGAGCCTATCCCAGCTGACACTGGGCGAGAGGCAGGGTACAACCTTGACAGGTCACCAGACTATCACACGGCTGACACATAGAGACAGACAACCATTCACACTCACATTCACACCTTTGGACAATTTAGAGTCACCAGCTAACCTGCATGTCTTTGGACTGTGAGAGGAAGCTGGAGTACCCGGAGAAAACCCACGCTGACACAGAAGGGCTCCCCCACCCCAGGATTCCAACCAGGAACTCTCTTGCTGTGAGGCGATAATGCTAACCACTGCACCACTGTGCTGCCTCTTTTATCTCTACTCCTGTAAGGTGCTGACAGTTAAAATCACATGTATATAATTATTCGCCTCATTAGTGTAATGTGTTCTTGGCCCTGAATGTAATTCAAAAATATCTGGACAATCACTAAAATGTTGTCCAGTCATAAAGAGGTTTCTGGCAGTGGCGCCCCCAGAAACTTTTCACAAGGGTGGCCAAATGGGGCCACTGAAAATCTTATCTAGAGCCTATCTGCAGCCTATCCCAGCTGACATTGGGCGAGAGGCAGGGTACACCTATGACAGGTCACCAGACTATCACAGGGCTGACACATAGAAACAGACAACCATTCACACTCACATTCACACCTACGGACAATTTAGAGTCACCAATGTGGGAGGAACCCATGCTGACATAGGAAGAACATGCAGGCTCCAAACAGGGTGCTGGCTTCAAACCAGGAAACCTCTTGCTGTGAGGTGACAGTGCTAACCACTGCACCAGCGTACAATTTAATTCACCATTACTTTCTCTCATTACATTTTCTTTTTACAGAGGGATTGTTGTATAGAAATACGGAGGTGTAATGCCATGAGAGAAAAAAATCGGACAAAATAAGAGCAATTATTTTTTCAATGAAAACTTTCCTCAGAATACTAAGATGATGCTCTCTTTAATAAATCAAACAAATATGTTTGTTTTCAAGTGGATGCATTAAAAATATACTATGCAAGATTTTCCAAAATAAATAAATAAATAAATAAATAAAGATAATGTATAGACTCATACAGAAGTAATTCCTCTTAATTGTCACTTATGACCCAACAGAAGTGTGTGGTGATGTATTTATATGCAGACTCTTCCCTCTCTGCATGTATTTTCTTATTAACTTCTTATTTTCAATGTTAGGCGTGTTTATGGGCATGTACCCCCGCAGTGCTCAGGTGAGGTTGGGGCTTTATTAAAAGATAGCGATCAGGTGTCAAACTATAAGCGGCAGGCATCCAAGAGACACAGTGCTAATAAACACAAATATAATAAGACGAAATGTCAAACAACTGAATCTGGAGTTGGCTTTTCGATTACAAGCATGTTCACAAACAGTATCTCACAGTCCTGCATACTATACCTTTAGGCCTATGTATTTAGGCCTGTAACATACGATAACATAGCAGTTTAGAGGTAAAGAACTCACGGTCATTGTCGTGAATGATTTGGAAATTCTTGACCGAGGCCTGAGTGACTCTGCCGTGGAAGTTGAGCACGTAGGATTGTGTGTCATCGTTCCACACGGGCGTCTTGTTGTGAAGTTCGATCACGCTCTCTGTGTTCTTGTTCTGCCACCTGGCCAGCAGTGACTCATGGTCCTGTAGTGAGGAACAAAATAGAATAGCTTCGGACACGGACATCACAGACATCAGATCAATTATGGAAGTATTAGAAGAGGTCAGCGCAGATGTGGCTGTTGAGAAAGGAGGTGACACATACATTTCGTGGGCGAATTGACACTCTCTCGTGGTCCATGTTCATTCCAGGAATGATGACACTCATTTTGCGAGGTCCTTTGAATCCTAAGACATTGGTTTCCTGGAGTGAAACAAAGATAAAGTGTACTGTAAACATGTTCACCCAACAAACTTGCAAAGTTTTAATAGCACATTACAGTATATTATTATTGTGAACATCACATTTCGGCTGAAACTGCTTTAAATTAAATACACATTTTTATCACAAGAGACACATTCACTATTGATCTGAAGAAATATACACTTTGCAATCTACTGTACTTAGCTGGTGCAACTTCCGATAAACATTTTATTCATATACTGTATGTAATTTGTGATGACTGACGACTACATCATAATCAAGCAAATGCAATATTATTGTGGACTATAGATAGTATCTGTCTGCCATGAAGGTTAAGGCCATTCTGCTGTATAAATATTCAATTGGATTTATACATGCACAGATGATAACTTGATTACAGCCTGATTATGGCAATGCCCTGACTCCTCAGTTTGTTGCATGAATGTCTTTATCTGATTATCTGACTCTGAATGAAACTCTGCGTTTCAAAGGCCACCAGACACATTAAGCTGGATGTTGCCTTTCAAAGCAGATTAAATTACATATGCAGTAGGTCTCCTGTTGGCTCCTTTATACCTCTCACATAAAATCATTCAAATGACATCATACTTCCAATCATGCAAACCTTAATCAACTATCTCTGTATGTGCAATCACACTGAATTACCATCTTACTGCCAGCTCATTTATCAACATTCATCTTCAAATATTAGAGAAACTGAGTGCAGCTTGGGGGTTAAGAGCATTTTGACAAACTCACATAGCAAATGGCTGCTAGCTCTTGACGCAGGTTGCTAGCTTCAAGGCTGGTGGTGCTCTTCATGGGGTTCAGGCCGCTGTCGTATACGGTGAACTTAGTTCCCATGAGGTTAGACCTGCAAGGAAAACAGGACAGACTGAAGAGATCTGTAGATTTAGTTGCATATATCACCAGCTAAGCTGATACAATGGAGGAAACTGTGAGATTCATCCTTTCAGAGTCAGTTTATAACATAATAAAAAGGAACAGCAGCCATTTTAAACACTCCACTTCAGGTCACTTTGGTTGGTGTACAGTGATATAGTTGTTGTGCTCTAATGGAGTTTGTTCTTGTGAGATTGGGGCACAGCAGGAATTGATAGCCTGGCTTCCCAGCAGGAAGGTGGTCAGATCCAGAACCTGACAGAGGGAGGCTGTGGGCAGTGCTTTGCCCTTACTTGACTTCCTACCCTAGATGAACGTCGAAACAGCTTGTTCATGACCATTTTCAATGGAAACAGAAAGTCTGTCTATGTTGTGAAAAAACATTTGTGTATTAAAGAATAGAAGAAATCTTCTGGGGTGCTATGGAGTACAGAAGAGAGTAGACATGTCCCCCTGCTGCTCTAGGAGAATGTGACTTAAATATATTTCTTTACTGTACAGTTATGCATACTAATAGTCAAGGACAATTTATAACAAACTTTAAAATAATGCTACTAGCGCCCTTGATGCCATGCTGCTACAGTCCATGATAGACTCCTTTTAGTGTGACATATTCAGGAAGACTGACACCCTGTCCATGAGCCTGCGCCCTGAAATATTGTCAGTGAGACTAGGAGAAATGTTCTGATCCTGTAATCTTAAATCCCAATTTCTGCCTGTAGTGAGGAAAACACTGCACTGTAGCTCTGCTATTTTCTATACTGCAGTACAAATGCAGTATCATTAGCATCATTCTGAAAGGCTGTTTCCTAATCCTACCAAATATGACAGTATCCAGTTGCTTTATGCACAGACACTATCATTAATATTGTGAACCCGTGTAAATAATTTCTGCATTTATGTAGTGCTATCAGTTGCAGATATGCTTCCCCACACAGCACATTTTCTACAAGGCTGGGCATTTCTATTCAGAAGGCAGCACGGTGGTTAAGCACTGTCACCTCGCAGCAAGAGGGTTCTGGGTTCAAACCCAGCTTAGCTTGGGGAGCTTCTGTGTGGGGTTTGCGTGTATACCCTGTGTTAGTGTGAGCTTTTCTCTGGGTTCTCCAGCTTCCTGCCACAGTCCAAAGACAAGCAGGTCAGGTCAATAGTTCCCTGTAGGTGGTTGTCTGTCTCTGTGTGTCAGCCCTGTGATCGTCTGGGAACCAGACAAGCCTCTGACAGTCCTGTCCACCCTGGTAAAGCAGTGAAGCTCCAGAGGAACTATAGTGTGAACAGAGAGATGACTGAGGCTCCCTCAGAGCTGAGGTCGACCAGACAGAGAAATTAATCCTCTTTCAAATGAACTGACAATGTGAATACAAAAAGAAGTGAGTTCCTTTTCTGTTGGTCCAATTTTCAATCCACTTTAAGGGTGCTTTTACACCTGCCCTATTTGGTTCAGTTAAAATTAACTCAGGTCAGTTTTTCAAGTTAGTACGGTTCAGACTGGCTGGTGTGAAAGTTTTCAATCGAACCTTGGTGTGGACCGCACAACTGAACCGAGACCGCTCAAAAAGAGATGTCGGTCCGCTTCCAAACTGACTCTGGTGCAGTTCATTTGTGGTGTGAAAGGAAACAAACCAACCACAGGATTTTATGAAAGCAGATATGTGATTTTAGCAGGATTTCAACAGCTAAACCAAAAATAAACCCATCTGCTGATCGTGTAACCATGGTAACACATATGAACCTCAGTGAGGCTATGTTCCCTGATTAAAAAAGCTGTTAAAACTGCCATCACTCTATCTGACTCCATGTACTTCGACTGTTAATTAAGTCTATTAAAAAGTGTGTGACAGTGATCCCACAGTATTAGGCCCCGAATCATCTCTGTACAAGACGCCTTCTTTTCATCCTGTCTCTGTGTTAGTCATTATTCATAACATGTGATTGATTTGCAGCCTAATAATAGCCTACTAATAACACTAACAATCAGTTATTAGTTATTTACAAATATAAACATTTTAAAAGCATTAAAGTGCTGCTGCATAAACACTTTCTAATGTCACAATGGAGGGACAACTATCCAGGTTGGTTTTAGCGCTGGTCATCATGGACTACATTGCTGTTATTGTTCATTTTAGTCAAACCATACAGTTTGAAAACGAGGCGCGGCTTCAACTAGAAAACAATGTTTTGATGCATTGGATGCGCTGAATGTGCATATTAAGGCAGTACAGGAGGAGGCGCACATTAATAATCCTCCAGGACTGTAACATGCTCATGTTTAACCCAAACAATGTGTCATGTGACTACAGTTGGTTCGGAAACCAGTTTGGTTATAACTGGTCCGAGACCACCTCTTCAGGAAGGTCTCAGTCCAGTTGTTTTGGTGCGCACCCGAGTGCGTTTGCTGTGTTCACACCTGCCCAAATGAACTGCACTTAGGGTGCAAACAAACTTGAGTTTGATTGAACCGAACCAAACAGGGCAGGTGTGAAAGCAGCCTAAAAAGGACAATATGCGGAAAAACCTGAAAGTGAACCAAAAGTGGACAGAAAAGGTATTTATTTCTATTCTGCAGACCAGTCATTAGTAGAATGGTTACTTTTGTGAGATCCTCACAGTAAAGGGCGCATATCAAATATATATGAGAAACTCTCCCAGTTAACAACAATTGAAACTAGCTTGGCAGGATGATCTATAGCCAGACAACAGAAGAAGCCCTGAAACTGATTCATAAATCTTCAGTGTGTGCAAAACATGGCCTCCCACAATTTAAGGTAATACATCCCTTACACTGGTCTAAACAAAAACTCGGTTCAATACATCCAGAGGAAGATCCTTCATGTGACAGCTGTAGGCTCGCACCAGCATCATTGGTTCATATGTTCCGGAGCTGCCCGAGGATATCAAACTACTGGAGCAATATTTCTCAGACCTTATCAAAGATTATGCAAATACCTATTGACTTAGATCCTTTGATGGCATTTTAAGTGCTATAGACTCAACCACTGTAAAGAACAGTGTGGAAGACATCATGGTACCATTTGTCAGCCTTCTAGCATGCAGACAGAGTTTACTTAAGTGGAAACAGAGATCTGCACCAACACATTCAAATCTAATGAGCGATGTAATGAAGCATCTGGAACTAGAGAAAATTTAATTCACTCTGAAAAAACAAAAGGAGAAATTTTATAAAATTTGGCAGCCCTTTAAAGACCGTTTCAATTATATGAAATCGTCTGACAAGGGTTAATGAAGACTACATCCATCACCTTTACTACCCCCCCTGTCTGAGAGCAGTTTGTTTCTTTTGTAGTGTTCACATATGCGTAAAAAATGCTGACTCATCACCAAGTGTAAAAACACAGTCATATGGGGGTCATGACACAAGTTATTCTCACATCATGACCTTTGGATTACCTAATTTTTAAAATGTTTTGTTTATACCAAAAGGTAATATGACTTGCAAAAATTATGGGGAGATATAGATTCAGCAACGCTCTAAAAAGCAGCATTACTACTGATATGTGAGCAGCATGATTAATCTAATTACATCAGCACAATGGGATATTACATTGTTTTATTTTGTTTCTGACCAACTTTAATTTCTGATGAGAAATAATTATTCATCTAATTATGCGCTTTTCGCATTTCTCAATTATACTCATACTAAGTCAAGGACTGTGAAATCAACCACTGTAGTCAATTACACAGTCTTAAACAACACAAAGGTACTACTACTGTAGTGGTTTCCAGGTATGTGTGCCTCGTTTGTAAGTAGTACGGCTTTGCAATTGCTTTTGAAAGCCACAGCTTCAAACCGCTGACTGTATACCTCTTATAGTCCATACCTCATTTAGGCCAACCCCCTCAAGGACTCTTGAGAAGCACTAGATGAAAGGTCACTGTTCATTTAAATTTAGATCGCCATCATTCAAACGGGGCCGTGATTGCACAAGTTTGAGCAGCGCATCGACCAATGGTCAGGCCCGCTCTGAAGATTAAAGGCTGCACAGAGCTATATTTGATTAAACTCCCCAGGAGTTTCCATGGAGCCACTAACGCAGCCTTGAAGCTGTCTCCAAAGATTATGTCTCGACTCACTTCTTGCATCTGACTGTGGCCTTAAACAAGAATTTACAGTGAACATTATGGCTCGCTGTACATTTATGAGGAAGGTATATATTTTTTTAAATGAGAGGTGAATTACAGATTTTTTTAAAACCTCACTGTTAGGTGCTACTCATACAGTTATTCATATTTATATATATATTTTATCACATTGACTCTAAATGAATTATTTAAATATGGAAATGTATTCTATCCACCCATCCATCCATTTTCATCCGCTTATCCGGGGCCAGGTCGCGGCGGCAGCAGGCCTAGCAAATCATCCCAGGCCACCCTCTCCCCAGCAACACTTTCCAGCTCATCCTGGGGGTCCCTGAGGCGTTCCCAGGCCAGATGAGATATGTAATCCCTCCAGCGTGTTCTGGGTCTGCCCCAGGGCCTCCTACCAGTGGGACGTGCCCGAAACACCTCCAGTGGGAGGCACCCAGGAGGCATCCTGATCAGATGCCCAAACCACCTCAACTGACTCCTTTTGACGTGAAGGAGCAGCGACTCTTCTCTGAGCTCCCTCTGGATGTCCGAGCCACTTACCCTATCTGTAATCAGTGTAATATATTCTAGTTAGATTAAATACCCATTTAATATTAATTGAACAACTGTATCAACACTAAATACAGGGCCTTAAGCAGGGTACAACAACCTTTACTACCAGAAGAGCCATTTTTGGTCCAAAAAAATTAATTAAATCTGCCTGGAGCCACAAAATATATCTAAGGGAGCGATCACACCGAGATGAAACGCCAGAAATGCGACGCCAGTAAAACCATTGTTTTTCGTATGATACAAGCGTCTTTTTAAACAGGCGTTTTCCCGGCATCCTTTTAGATGCACATTTTTGTAGACACTTCTTTTTAGATGCTTCTTTTTAGATGCATGCTTTTAGATGCACATAGACGCTGAAAAGTTAAAATATTTTCAATGTTTTGAACATCAGATGCCAGTAGATAGCGCGCATTGAATAAGCACTTCCAGCATTTCAAGCGTCTTTGAAGCGTCTGCGTCTCTAGCGTCTCATTTCTGTGTGATCGCCCCTTAACCCTTATAATAAAGGTAACACAGCCTTATTAAGTCTGAATTGGCTTATCAACATAACTAATAGGTCTAATCATCAATATATTTAACCATAAGGTAGCTACTCTGCGGTAAGGTATTTATGAATATTTGGTACTTTGCAGCGGAAGTAAACAAATCTGTCTATGCACTAGACTTTTTCTTTTGGAAGTGTAATTCATGGCAAGCTTCGCTACGGAGACTCAACACAAACCACCAAACCACCATGCTCAAAGTTCAAGAATCGCCTGAAGACATGTCGGCTTGTCAGCCTCACACAACTGTTGTCAATGCTCATAATGACCTTGACTGATAAAGTGCAGCCGGGAGACCGCGTAAGCATCACTGGTGTTTACAGAGCAACCCTCATGCGCGTAAACCCACGTCAGAGCACCGTGAAGTCGGTGTACAAGACCATCCACTTGCGTAAGACAGATGAGAAGAGCCTACATGGTTTAGACGAGGAGGCTGAACAGGAGCTCATTTACACATTTTTACAATTGAGTAATGTAAGAATCACTTTAGGCCTACAACAATGATAAATGAAAATGTAAGTGTTAGAAAATAACCGTGATTCATTTCCACGTAGCCTAATTTTTGGTCAATGCCACAGGGAGCCATTGGAGAGGGGCTAAAAAACAAAAAAAAAGTTAAACAAAGAATCATGTACAATGCTTACTGACTTACCTCAGTTTACCAATGAAGCTCTCTCCACCTCGAGACAGATCGGTGGGATCGATGGAGATGAGGTAATTTGATGTTTTACTCTTTTTCCTCTTCCTGCCTGCTAACAGGAACACCTGTGACGAGCCAAGTCAGAAACCAAATTAGCAAGTCAACTAGTTTGGATGCATGCAAAACAATCTCTTTTCACTGCATGAACTGTCCATTAAGCCTGTGGAAACTGTGCTACTTATCGTTAGAAAATGACTGAATCTTCAGAGTTTTCACAATGCTTATTACTCCATTAGTGTTTGGATTGGTTAATTATGTTGCTGTTTACTGTCTCAGAGTTTCCACTGCCTGACCCTTCTCACCTTCTTGCCGTCTTCTCTCTCTAGATGAAGGTAGTAGGTGGGATACATGCCTCGGTCCATGCCTTTCTTGTCTCTGGTAATTCTGCACTTCACTCTGATCCCCTGGGGCGCAGGTCGCAGAGAAAACTCTTCAAGGTCATCTACATCGACAGCAGGTTCATTGACTGGTGGAGTGGGTGCCGAGGCCACCTCCTGTAGGAGAAAAACAGCCCGCGCAGGGCTCCCCTGGTGAGATGGTGGACTGGTGAGTGATGCATTAGAGTTGACTTTCATTAGAACAGAGTAATGAGCCTGAAGATCAAATCGTCCACCGGGACCGAGAATGAGCACACTGTGGCTAAAATAAGGAGCTGGTGTAGAGATGGAAGATTGAGTTGACTGAAGGGAAAGATTAGAGTGGAATGAGGAGCAGAGATGGCTATCGTGAGTACAATGCCAGCTGAGGTTTCACTCTGAACAGAGTGTAGAGGCTGTAGAGAGGATGTGTTTTTAAAGAGGGTTACATGGTTATCTGAGGGTAGTCATCTATTATCACACCTGAAATGGAGAAAAACAAAACCGGCATGTGTTACCTCAAATATTAGATCAAGTAGATCCAAAGCTGGCTGACTTCAAGTGATCAGAAGTATGCAAAATAATAGCATACAACCATATGTTGAATTTTGGGGTAGACACAGGGGACATATCCAACCAATGAAAGCATGACAGTAGTAGAGGACATTTATTTGACAAAATTAAAGACATATTCACCATAAATTAATGCAGAAACGGCTAAATTGGTGCATAAAATCCACCGGAATGCAGAAAATCAAGTGTTTGATGCTCAGATTTTCTGGCAAAGGACCTCCAAACTCTTGTTCTATGTCCTCCTTCACCGCCAACATCTCAACAAAACCTATGCCCTTGCTTACAACATGTTTTAAAAATACTTGGCGGTATGTTTGATTACATAAATTGCACAGAAATCCTTACAACAGCCCACCTGGGCCTTTATGCACAGCTCTCCGCCTCAGGTGTGTATCTTCAAACCAAATGGCAGTTTTTCCCTTTCAAACTGCTACAGGCACATAAGGTGTCTGTATGAGATGATTGTTCCACCACCTGAATAAATAAACAACAGGCCAGAAATTGCAAAAGCCCCAAATAATTTCAATACTGTCTGTAGAAGAAGAAAAGCCGAAGGGCACCAGCAATTTATTTGTATCACATTAAGCCATAATGGTCTATAACTGTACTTTCAGTCATGGAACTTAAATAGAGTCCAGCTGAGCGACAAAATTGAATCTACATTTTCTCCTGCGTGTCACTGACTGGTTAAAACTCTACTGGTTACTGGGCAGAATAAAGACGCATCATGCAGAGAGCACAAGTGCACGCTGTGAGATTCATGTTACCTTGCATGACTTCTTGCTGGTGGCTGAGCCTGGCCTCGTGTTGCTGTTGAGCTGTGAGGAACTGGAGCTGATTTCATCTTCATCGTCCTCTTCTTCATCGAAATTCATACTGCTGGAAATACCTTCACAGAGAAAGAAAATGAAACAAGAAAGTGAAAGAAGAAGAAAGAAAGAGGTGTCACTTATTATTCACTGCAGTTTATTGGTAACATGAAACACTGTGATAATTGGAGCCAACAGGAACACATTCCCTTTTCATCACGTATAACATTTGTAAAAAAACATCTTCACAGTTTGAGGTTTAAATAGACTTACTTGTGCCCCATGTTAGTGAGTGCAACCAGGTCACAGGTTTCCATTAAATAAACCAGGTGTCAGAACTCAGTTGAGACACAGAGGGGTTTTTAGTAAATCTGAGCTCAGGTGCTATCAGGACTGTCTACTATCTCTTGATTTCACATAGTACTTATAATACAATATGATACAATATGATGCGATACAATGCGATACGGTATGGTACAATATATTTTATTGGCCCCCATAGGGAAATTTGTCTTTGTAGTTAAACAAATACTTAATGGCGACTGTTTCCCAGAAGTGTGTGAGTCCAGTCATCCATGTTAAGGAGGTACAATGTGAATTATTTGGTGCCCAACAATACTGAGACTGAAATTTCATGTTGGTCCACTTGAGGCTTAACCTTAACCTTTTTAAAAATGTGGGAAAGAACAAACTCTGTTCATCTTATATTGAGTTGCAAATTACAGCCCTGAATAATAAGGAATAGGGTCAATGAATTCTTTTGCCAATAAATTACTTAAAAGAAATTAGCATTTTAGGATCAGGCACAAAACCATTTAGGGGCACGAGTTTCCAACAATGAACCTGCACCCACCCCCTCCAACCTCCCTCATACAAGGTTGAGGGATGGTAATAAGACCAGCAACATATCGGATAATAATAAGAATGATGACTGAGGTAAATTAATGTAAAGCAAAGGAGAGAAAAAAGAGTGACAAATATAACAACAAATAAATAAATAATTAAATTAAATAAAAAAATAAATATACACTTATTAAAAAAAAAAAAAAATAAATAAA